AAATTTAGGGTCAACACAATGATTCCCTGCCACCCCCACACCCTCATTTGTGTCCCTTCACATCCATAGCATTAATTATGATATGAATTTGATAGTTTTTGCTTGTACGGGTTAGTCATGAATCAATATCTTGTTCGTAGTTTTTTTTTTTCTTTTTTTTGGCATAAATGAATTCTGTTTTGGATATTTATTATTTTAATTATTTATGGAATGAAAGGTTTAGTAACGATTTTTGAAACTATTTAAAATTTGGGTCGTTACAAATCGAGCCAAAGAAAAGTGGTTTTTCATTTCATGATAACTTCGTGTTTGTTCATTTTTAGCGAATTGCTAGTCTAAATCAATTGGAATCGAGCTAATGAAAAGATGGTCATGATTTCTTGATAACTTCGGGTTTGTTCGTTTTTGGCGAATTGCTAGTCTAATTCGATTGAAATCGAGCCAATGAAAAGAGGTTTTTCATTTCATGATAACTTCGTGTTTGATCGTTTTTGCCGAATTGCTAGTCTAAATTGATTGGAATCGAGCTAATGAAAAGGTGTTTTTAATTTCACGATTGATTAGTGTCTAAAAGTGCTTCAAAGATATATCATTTACAAGGCATTTTACATTCACTTTGTTTAAAGACGCTAATGTTTGTCTCTAATTCCAATTCTCATGCCGTAAATTCAATTTCCATAAATACATGGTTAAAAATGCAATTAACTGAAATACGTATTTACATACATGGCGGCATGAGTATTATACATTTGAAAGAGTATCTATTTGATGTATTTCACATGTATTTCCAATTTATTACAAGTGGAGCATGTGGAGGAAAATAATGTTGAAAAGTCAAAAATAGTGACTGCCTCAAGCAAGAAATAGTTGTCGGTAAAATATTCATAACTTGAGCTGCAGACATTGGATCGAGGTGATTCAAGTTGGGTTAGAAAGATAAGGCATGTATCTACAAAGTTCATGTTTTTCAAGAAGTCAAATTCGTATCACAATGCAGCCAAAATTACCGTGCAAAGTCCAGCTAGTTACCTGCCGGATGCAGCTTTACCTGTGAAGCAGCACTTATTTGTTTTATCATATCTGGAGTTATATAGATCCAATGAACCTGATCTTTGAACCAATGGAAAGATAACTCAAGTGGTAATATTTAATCTGTTGATCATAAGTCCAAATTCGCTGCACAATGTATCTGAAAATTGGCATCAAGTTGCATGTTCCAGCTGTCTTGAAGCTGGACAGAAACAAGTTGCATTGCCTACTTGAATTTTGGATGTTCCTTTCCCTATAAAAGGGGACCTTGGCCACGATTTTGAAGCATCAATTCTCTCCATCATATTCTAGTTTCCTTCATTTTCTTTGTAACATTTCACTATGTATTTCTAAACATTTAGCTAGAGCTAAGGGTGAAACTTTGATGAATGTTTAGTATTGTCTTTGATCTTTCATTTTGTTCTTCAACGTTCATCTTCTTACTTGGTTGAAGTTTGTGTTCTACAAATGGTTTTGGTTTGTTAAAGACTTTGATTTATTGTTGACAATTTTGGCACAATAAATGCTTAGATAATCTCTACATTCCAACAACTTATTTTGACATATTCTCTCAAACAATGATCAAGATCTATCTTTTAATATATTTGTGATCAATGTTTTATCTTCCATATGAGATCACTCCTTAGTTGATTTTCATATGAGTTAAATTAAAGATCAAGGGCAATTTCTACTCATTTATCCGAAGTGAATCCCCGGCGCTCTAGTGTTCGTCTCAATCGTATTTCCACCAACCGTTTATTACTCATAGAATAGTTTATTTCCTTCCAATTCCCTGTGGTTCGACCTTGGACTTCCGAGATTTACTACTTGTGACAACCTGCACTTGGGTTTGCAACCTTAAAGTTGTAGCAAGTTTTTGGCGCCGTTGCCGGGGATTTGTGTCAAGGATTATTTTCTGCTACTCTCTATGAGGTTTTCTTCTCTTTCATAATCTTCACAAATCAGGTACACTCGTTCCTTTTTCAATCTTATTACTTTAGTTATCTTACTTTAAAGGAAGGCTAAGCCTCCTTCGTTTTTATTTTCTGTTCATTTTCTTTCCTTAAAGGGAAGGCCGAGCCTCCCGATCTGCCGTTTGTTTATTATATGGTTGGCCGTGCCACCTAATTTTTGTCTTTACATTATTATATGGTTGGTCGTGCCACCTAATTTTCGTTCTTTTTATATGGTTGGCTATGCCACCTAATTTTTGTTCGTTATATCTACTTTTTGTTATTTTATGTCATATTAGTATCGTGAATTAAATTCTCGTCGTTTAGTTAAAGATAATTGTGAAACTTTCTTTAGTAATTTGTTTGACTCACCTCAACACTCACTCCCCTCTTCCACCATGGCTGATAATGAAAGCATACATGATGAAAATGAAAACCAACAAGCACGAACCATGCGTGATTACTTGCAACCTCCTCGAAATTCTGCTCCTTCATGTTTCATTTTCCCTCTTAATGCTAATAATTTTCGATTCAAGCCGGATATGATTCCATTACTTCCTAATTTTCATGGCTTAGAATCCAAAAGTCCATATTTGCATCTTAAAGAATTTGAGGAAGTATGTGCCACATTTAACGATCAAACTTGTCCCAATGAAATTATTAAGTTGAAATTGTTTCCTTTTTCTCTAAAAGATAAAGCAAAAACTTGGCTTAACTCTTTAAAACCTAGGTCGATTGGCACATGGAAAGAAATGCAAAGTGAGTTTTTGAAGAAATTCTTTCCAGCCTAATGCTTTGAAAAGACAAATCCAAATTTTTTCTCAAAAAACCAATGAAGCGTACTTTCAATGTTTAGAAAGATTTAAAGATTTGTTAAATACATGCCCACATCATGGTTTTGAAAAATGGCGTACTATAAGTTTCTTTTATGAGGGCCTAACTCCTGAAACAAAACAATTTGTAGGAACGATGTGCAATGGTGAATTTTTAGATAAAGATCCAGATGAAGCTTTAAAATTTCTAGATCATCTAGCTGAAAATTCTCAATCTTGGCAAACAGTAAAACCAATCGAAAACTCAATTAGATCTAGTCTTCCTAGTTCTAGTGGAGGAAAATATCAATTGAGTCAAGATGATGATCTAAATGCTAGGATTGCTAGTTTGTCTAGAAAGGTTGAAGCGATGGAATTAAGGAAAGTAAAGGAAGTTCAACCCGTGCAAAATGATGAAATTTGTAGCATTTGTGAAACTTTTGGTCATCTTACACATAATTGTTCTAACATTCCAGTTTTCAAAGAAGTTTTACATGATCAAGGCAATGCTATGAACACTTTCAAAAAGCCTTTTTCTTCACCATACTCAGAAACATATAATCAACAATGGAGAAATCATCCCAACTTTAGTTGGAGAGATGATAATCGTGTTCATTTATCACAACCTCAAGGGCTTTCAAAATTTCCTTCTTTTCCATCACCACAACCAAAGACTCTTGAGGAAACATTGCAATCTTTTATGCAAGGACAAGCAAATATTAATAATCAAACTTCACAAGCCATCAATGAAATTAAGAACACACTTTCTTCATTGACCTCTTCTTTGCATTCTCAAGAGAAAGGAAAATTTCCTGCTCAACCTCAACCAAACCCTTCTCAGCAATATAATGTAAATGCTTCTAGTTCTTCTGAAAGTCAACAACAAAATGCCAACTCCATCACGACTCTTCGTAGTGGAAAAATTATTGACAAAACCATCCCTTCAAAAGAACTAAAATCTGGTGGTACTTCAAAGCAAGAAAATGACGTTTTCAAAAGTGAGGAAAAGATCATTTCTGAACCTATTGTTGAAAAATGTCCCATTCCAGCTCCATTTCCTCAACGATTGCAACCAATTTCAAAACTCAACCACAATTCTGAAATTTTTGAACTTTTTAAACAAGTCAAAATTAACATACCATTATTGGATGCAATCAAACAGGTACCTTCATATGCAAAATTTTTAAAAGACTTGTGCACTGTCAAGAGGAAACTTAATGTTCAACAAAAAGTATTTTTAACAGAGAATGTGAGCTCGATCGTTCAACAAAACACTCCACCTAAATTCAAAGATCCTAGTTGTCCAACAGTTTCTTGTGTGATTGGGAATAATAGGATAGAGCGTGCTTTGCTTGATCTTGGTGCTAGTGTTAACTTATTACCTTTTTCTGTGTATGAGCAACTTGGTTTGGGAGAGCTTAAGCCAACAACAACAACACTTCAACTTGCTGATCGTTCAGTAAAAGTTCCAAGAGGGGTTGTAGAGGATGTTCTAGTTCAAATTGATAAATTCTATTATCCTGTTGATTTTATAGTTTTGGACACACATCCTATTTTAAATTCAAATGTGCAAATACCTGTCATTCTAGGACGTCCCTTTCTTGCTACTTCAAATGCGTTGATAAATTGTAGAAATGGTATCTTGAAACTCTCTTTTGGAAATATGACCGTGGAAATGAATATTTTTAACATTTGCAAGCAACATGGAGATGAAGATGATTTGCATGAAGTAGATCTTATTGAACAACTTGTTGATGATCAATTTATCGCTACATCTTCATATGATGCGCTTGAATTTGAATTCAATGATAATTCTAAAAATTCGCATATGATTTCAAGTGTTCAAGAACCAAAGCTCGATTTGAAACCATTTTTTGAGAATTTCTCTAAATTGGAAGAGTCCGTTGCTATACATGATTCTAAAGATTGATATCCTTTTCTTTTTATTTTATTTTGTATGTTTATTTTTAGTTTTATAATGTTATGTGTTTTTTTTAGGTGTGTTTCTTTTATTGTTGTTTTTTTTTCTTTCACTAATGAAATTGAAGGATCATTTGGGCCAAGTTTATGCAGACTTTCCAAGTAAAACTCAAAACTCGTCCCTTTGTTCACAATTTTGCTCCTTATTGTCCTTCATATATTTTGCACATTTAATCTTTACATTGAGGACAATGTTTCATTTAGGTGGGGGAAAGGGATCAAAATGATCAAAAAAAAAATATAGTTTGATTGTTCTTACCGACCGATGATAATATTTGAAATTGTTTTTATATTATTGTGACTAGGGGATGCTGCCTTGATTTAGTTTAAGCTTGTTCATGTTAGATTGATTTACATTGAGCACAATAATCATGAAAATCACATATTATTTAGATTGGATCAATGGATAGAATATGTAGAATTAACTATGACGAAAAAAAAACTAAACCAATTCTAGGATAGTTTGGGGTGGTTGACCTATTGTGGGGAGACATTGAGATAGATGTGGATTTCGTATGTGTTAAATTTTGTGTGGATTGCTTAAGACCAATGAGATGATAATTAGGTGAAAATCTTAAGTTAAAGATCGATTTTCGAGAATAAGTGTTTAATGAGGGGCATTGCACTAATCATTGCATAGAAGGGAAAAAGCTGCCATGTTGTAAAGCTACCCTAAAAGAGCCCAATGAGGACAATTATATACATAAAAAGAGATAGGCTAGTGCATGAAACAGAATACTCACGGCAAACTTGAAAAAAGCAGGTGCATGAAACAGAAGACGCACTTCATGCTTGATTGAGTCCCAAACACTTATTTTAGAGAATTAGACCTTTGATAAGGGATTAGTAGCTTAGTTGATTCTTGGAGGTCTGATCAGTCAAAATTAAGGAGAATCCTCATTTATTGATGTGTTGAGCTACAATTAGTAAAATCTAACCAAACTAGAGATGGTGAGTAATAGTATATAAATTTAACCATACATTACACCTTGGGAAAATAGTTACAAAATCAATTTTGGGGGTGTGCATCCCACAAGAGAAGAGAGAAATAATTGACCTTCAATGTTTATCTTCTTACTTGGTTGAAGTTTGTGTTCTACAAATGGTTTTGGTTTGTTAAAGACATTGATTTATTGTTGACAATTTTGGCACAATAAATGCTTAGATAATCTCTACATTCCAACAACTTATTTTGACATATTCTCTCAAACAATTATCAAGATCTATCTTTTAATATATTTGTGATTAATGTTTTATCTTCCATATGAGATGACTCCTTAGTCGATTTTCATATGAGTTAAATTAAAGATCAAGGGCAATTTCTACTCATTTATCCGAAGTGAATCCCCGACGCTCTAGTATTCGTCTCAATCGTATTTTCACCAATCGTTCACTACTCATAGACTAGTTCATTTCCTTCCAATACCCTATGGTTCGACCTCGGACTTCCGAGATTTACTACTTGCGACAACCTGCACTTGGAATTGAGCTAATGAAAAGAGGTTTTTCATTTTATGATAACTTCGGGTTTCTTCATTTTCGGCGAATTGCATGTCTAATTCGATTGGAATCGAGCCAGAGAAAAGTTGTTTTTCATTTCATGATAACTTCAAGTTTGTTCATTTTTGGCGAATTGCAAGTCTAATTCATCGGAATAGAACCAAAGAAAATTGGTTTTCCATTCCATGATAACTTCGGATTTGTTCATTTTTGGCGAATTACTAGTCTAACTCGATCGGAATCGAACCAATGAAAAGTGGCTTTTGATTTCATGATAACTTCGGGTTTGTTCGTTTTTGGAGTATTGCTAGTCTAATTCGATTGGAATCGAGCTAAAGAAAAGTGGTTTTTCATTTCATGATAACGTCGTGTTTCTCCATTTTTGGCGAATTGCTAGTCTAAATCGATTGGAATCGAGCTAATGAAAAGATGATTTTGATTTCTTTATAACTTCGAGTTTGTTCATTTTTGGCGAATTGCTAGTCTAATTCGATTGGAATCGAGCCAATGAAAAGAGGTTTTTCATTTCATGATAACTTCGGGTTTGATCGTTTTTGGCGAATTGCTAGTCTAATTCGATTGGAATCGAGCCAATGAAAAGAGGTTTTTCATTTCATGATAACTTCGGGTTTGTTCATTTTTGGCAAATTGCTAGTCAAATTCGATTGGGATCGAGCCAATGAAAAGTGGCTTTTTATTTCATGATAACTTCGTGTTTGTTCATTTTTGGCGAATTTCCAGTCCAAATAGATTGGAATCGAGCAAGTGAAAAGCGGCTTTTGATTTCATGATAACTTCGGTTTATTCGTTTTTAGCAAATTGCTATCTAATTCGATTGGAATCGTGCCAATGAAAAGTGGCTTTTGATTTCATGATAACTTTGGGTTTGTTCATTTTTGGCTAATTTCTAGTCTAAATCGATTGGAATCGTGCAAGTGAAAAGTGGCTTTTGATTTCATGATAACTTCGGTTTATTCATTTTTGGCGAATTGCTATCTAATTCGATTGGAATCGGGCTAATGAAAAGTGGCTTTTGATTTCATGATAAATTAGGGTTTGTTCGTTTTTGGCGTATTGCTAGTCTAATTCGATTGGAATCGAGACAAGGAAAAGTGATTTTTCATTTCATGATAACTTCGTGTTTATTCGTTTCTGGCAAATTTCTAGTCTAAATCAATTGGAATCGAGCTAATGAAAAGATGATTTTGATTTCATGATAACTTCGGGTTTGTTCCTTTTCGGCAAATTGCTAGTCTAATTCGATTGGAATCGAGCCAATGGAAAGAGGTTTTTCATTTCATGATAACTTCGTGTTTGTTTATTTTTGGCGAATTGCTAGTCTAAATCAATTGGAATCGAGCTAATGAAAAGTTGATTTTGATTTCATGATAACTTCGGGTTTGTTCCTTTTCGGCGAATTGCTAGTCTAATTCGATTGGAATTGAGCCAATGGAAAGAGGTTTTTCATTTCATGGTAACTTCGGGTTTGTTCATTTTTGGCGAATTGCTGCTCTAATTCGATTGGACTCGAGCCAATGAAAAGTGGCTTTTGATTTCATGATAACTTCGGGTTTGTTCATTTTTGACGAATTGCTAGTCTAAATCGATTGGAATCGTGAGAGTGAAAAGTGGCTTTTGATTTCATGTTAACTTTGGTTTATTCGATTTTTGCAAGTTGCTATCTAATTCGATTGGAATCGAGCCAATGAAAAGTGGCCTTTGATTTTATGATAACTTCGGGTTTGTTCATTTTTGGCGAATTGCTAGTCTAATTCGATTGGAATCGAGCCAAAGAAAAGTGGTTTTTCATTTCATGACAACTTCGTGTTTGATCGTTTTGGCGAATTGCTAGTCTAAATCGATTGGAATCGAGCTAATGAAAAGGTGATTTTGATTTCATGATAACTTCGGGTTTGTTCGTTTTTGACGAATTGTTAGTCTAATTCGATTGGAATTGGGCTAATCAAAATAGGTTTTTCATTTCATGATAACTTCGGGTTTGTTCATTTTTGGCGAATTGCATGGCTAATTCGATTGAAATCGAGCCAAAGAAAAGTGGTTTTTCATTTCTTGATAACTTCGTGCTTGATCATTTTTGGCGAATTGCTAGTCTAAATCGATTGGAATCGAGCTAATGAAAAGATGATTTTGATTTCACGATAACTTCGGGTTTATTCATTTTTGATGAAGTGCTAGTCTAATTCGATTGGAATTGAGCTAATGAAAAGGGGTTTTTCATTTCATGATAACTTCATGTTTGTTCATTTTTGGCGAATTGCTTGTCTAATTCGATTGGAATCTAACTAATAAAAAGTGGCTTTTGATTTCATGGTAACTTAGGGTTTGTTCATTTTTGGCGTATTACTAGTCCAATTCAATTGGAATCGAGCCAAAGAAAAGTGGTTTTTTCATTTCATGATAACTTCGTGCTTGCTCATTTTTGGCGAATTGCTAGTCTAAATCGATTGGAATCGAGCTATTGAAAAGATGATTTTGATTTCATGATAACTTCAGGTTTGTTCCTTTTTGGCGAATTGCTAGTCTAATTCGATTGGAATCGATCCATTGAAAAGAGTTTTTTCATTTCATGATAACTTCGGGTTTGTTCATTTTTGGCGAATTGCTAGTCCAATTCGATTGGAATCGAACAAATGAAAAGTGGTTTTTGATTTAATAATAACTTCGAGTTTGTTCATTTTTGGTGAATTTCTAGTCCAAATCGAATGGAATCGTGCAAGTGAAAAGTGGCTTTTGATTTCATGATGACTTCGATTTATTCATTTTTGGCGAATTGCTATCTAATTCGATTGGAATCGAGCCAATGAAAAGTGGCTTTTGATTTCATGATAACTTCGGGGTTATTCATTTTTGGCGAATTGCTATCTAATTCGATTGGAATCGAGCCAATGAAAAGTGGCTTTTGATTTCATGATAACTTCGGGTTTGTTCATTTTTGGCTAATATCTAGTCTAAATCGATTGGAATCGCGCAAGTGAAAAGTGGCTTTTGATTTCATGATAACTTCGATTTATTCGTTTTGGGCGAATTGCTACTAATTCGATTGGAATCCAGCTAATGAAAAGTGGCTTTTGATTTCATGATAACTTAGGGTTTGTTCATTTTTGGCGTACTGCTAGTCTAATTCGATTGGAATCGATCCAAAGAAAAGTGATTTTTCATTTCATGATAACTTCGTGTTTGTTCGTTTTTGGCGATTTGCTAGTCTAAATCAATTGGAATCGAGCTAATGAAATGATGATTTTGATTTCATGATAACTTCGGGTTTGTTCATTTTTGGCGAATTGTTAGTCTAATTCGATTGGAATCGAGCCAATGAAAAGAGGTCTTTCATTTCATGATAACTTTGGGTTTCTTCATTTTTGGTGAATTGCTACTCCATTTCGATTGGAATCGAGCCAATGAAAAGTAGCTTTTGATTTCATGATAACT